ACGATTATTTTAACAATAACTTGTTGACAATTATGTAAAAATAGAAAAAGACTGGTGTAAAGAAAATCAAAAACAGTTGAGAGTGGAAAAGCATCAGGGACTAATCGATTATTTAGAAAAAAAGCGACTGATGCTAATGCTCGTGTTAGACGAGTAATGATACTTCCATCAACATTTATTGGTTCACCTCGAAATATGATGCAAAATTATCAAGATGCGATGGCTATTGTTCGTAAATATGGTAAACCAGATATTTTTATTACAATGATTCGTAATCCAAATTGGCTCAAAATTAAAGAAAATTTACTTTCAAATTAACAACCTGCTGATAGACCTGATATTTGTGCTAGAGTATTTGATATAAAAAAAAAAATTATTTGATAGATTTGATTGTTCGACAAAAATTTTTTGGTGAAGTAAAAGCATTTGTTTATGTAATCGAATTTCAGAAACGTGGTTTGCCGCATGTGCATATATTAGTAACTTTAAAACAACAATGCAAAATTATTAATTCGGAAACCGTTGATAAGTATATTTCTGCTGAAATTCCGGATCCTGCTATTGATCAAAATTTGCATGAAATTGTCATAAAAAATATGATTCATGGACCATGTGGTGATTGGTGTATGGTAAATGGAAAATGTTCAAAGCATTTTCCAAAATCTTTTCACGAGGAAACAACTATGGATGAAAATGGTTATCTACAATACCATCGAAGAGACACTAGCATTTTGTATGAGAAACCTGGAGAATTTGTAGTAGATAATCGATTTGTTGTTCCTTACTGTCCAATATTATCAACAATTTTTAATTGTCATATTAATGTTGAAGTTGTTTCAAGTATCAAGTCAGTAAAGTATTTATATAAATATATTTACAAAGGTCACGATACAGCATCTGTAGTTATAGAAAAAGATGTGAATAATATGGAAATTGTTCATGATAAAATTAAAGATTTTATTGAAGCACGTTATGTAAGACCAGTTGAAGCTTATTGGCGTATTGTAAATAAAATATTGCAAGAAAAAAGTCATGCCATCATTCATTTACCTGTACATTTGCCAAGTGAACAAAATGTAATTATCTCTAATCATTTAAATGAACAAGATTTACAATCTGTTTTAGAACGTATAACAATGTTAATGGATTATTTTGAATTAAATAAACGAGATGTTGATGCACACCAATATGTATATACAGATATACCTTTATATTACGTGTTCAAGGAAGTAATTCTTGATGGAAAACAAATTAGCCGTTGGGAAAAACGTCAGAGTAAATTTAATTGTATTAGACGAATGTACTCAGTTAGTCCAACTGAAATCGAATTATTCCATTTACATATTCTTTTATTAAATATTAACGGAGCAACAAGTTATAATGCTTTAAAAACAGTTAATGGTGTATTACATCAAACATTTGAAGTAATCTGCATGTTTGGCTTTGGGTTTAATTGAAGATGATGATGAATGGAAACGTGCAATTAGCGAAGCTTCTATATGGATGATGCCAAGACAACTTAGGTATCTTTTTATTCAAATACTAATGCATTGCCAACCATTGCATCCAAAAGAGTTATGGGATGAATTTCAAGTTGCAATGTCCGAAGATTACATATGACGATTTGGACGAGTCACTGGAATAAAAAAAGCTTATGCTCAAATCAATCAATTACTTTGCAAAGAAGGTTGGAAACTTAAGCAATTTCCAGAAATGGAATAAATAAAGATAAAATATGAAGAAGAAGATGCAGAACAATTGCAAAGAGAAGCTTTATGTGGTCAGCAACAGTATAGCCAATTAAATTATGGTCAAAAAAATGTTGTTGATTATGTTTTAACTCTTTTGGCAAAAACTAACAATTAACAAAAAAAAATGCTTATACATTGACTGTCCAGAAGGTTCAGGTAAAACTTTTATTCACACAACATTATACTATTTACTCAAATCTCAAGGCAAAGTTGTTAATACAATGGCTTTCACTGGTATCGCTGCAACATTACTACCAAATGGAAGAACAGCACATAAAACTTTAGGTTTGCCCATATCTCTTTTTAATAATTCAACATCGAATATAAAAGTTCAATCCAAAGAAACTGATTATTTAAAAAAAACAGATGTTTTTATTTGGGATGAAGCACCAATGGCACCGCGATATGCTCTTGAAGTAATGAATTGTTTCTTACAAGATTTAATGCATAATAATATACCATTTGGAGGAAAAATTGTTATTTTTGGTGGAGATTTCAGACAATTATTGCCAGTAAAAGAAAATGCCACACGTTCTAAAACTGTAAATTTATCAATTAAATTTAGTTCATTATGGCAACATTTCAAAATTTTTTCATTAACAGAAAATATGCGTATTTTACCACATAAACAGGAATTTGCTCAATTTTTATTAGATTTGGGTAATGGTTCTCTAAATGATCAGTCTAATAATATTGAAATTCCATTAAGATGTGTAGCAAATTTAAATGCAAATATAACAAAAGATACATACGAAGAAATAATCAAACACAATCAGTATAGACTTGCAGCAAAACGTGCTATACTTTCTGCAAGAAATGTTGATGTGGATGAATTAAACAAACAAGTTGTAAATTTACTTGATGAATCAATAAAAAGAGTATGCACAAGTATAGATACTACTGAAACTACTGATGATAATAATGATATTAATGAAGCTATTTTAACAGAATATTTAAATACTTTAAATCCAACAAATCTTCCACCTTATAAACTCCGATTAAGAAAATATACAATTATCATGTTCATTAGAAATCTGAATATCAGCGAAGGTTTGTGTAATGGAACAAGATTATTAATTTTAGAATTACCCAGACAACAAATATACATCCAAAATACGTCTATGGCACATCATACAAGTTATCCCGCGATCGTAATGGGATTGTCTCATGGGACGTCTATGAGACCGTAAATGTCCGCCTTATTTACCGCAATGGGATAATCTTGCAGACGTCTTAAAAGGGTCCTCACGATATCCCAAAATTTTCATAAGATATCGAGAGGATATTAAAATATACATCCAAAATACGTCTATGGAACATCATATAAGTTATCCCGCGATCGTAATAGGATTGTCTTATGGGACGCCCATAGGGCCATAAATGTACGCTTTATTTACCGCAATGGGATAATCTTGCAGACGTCTTAAAAGGGTCCTCACAATATCCCAAAATTTTCATAAGATATCAAGAGGATATTAAAATATACATCCAAAATACGTCTATGGGACATCATATAAGTTATCCCGCGATCGTAATAGGATTGTCTTATGGGACGCCCATAGGGCCGTAAATGTACGCTTTATTTACCGCAATGGGATAATCTTGCAGACGTCTTAAAAGGGTCCTTACGATGTCCCAAGATTTCTATAATAGGTATCGAGAAGAATGTACATCCAAAATACGTTTATGAGACATCATACAAGTTATCCCGCGATCGTAATAGGATTGTCTCATGAAATGCCCATAGGACGTAAATGTCCGCTTTTTTATCACAATGGGACAATCTTGTCAAATTCAATAAAAGACATTATGCGGTCTGTATGAAGGCACATCCATCATCCACATTGTATCAAGACTAATAGGACAATCTAGATTCTATGAAAACGTCAATAGACACATTATCGAAGAAACGCGGAAGACTTTCCATGTATGTTACCGACGAAACCCGATTTCAGAATAAACTAATTTTTCCTAGGCTGAACTAGTCTATACAAAATGCGTTAAAATTAACCAGTTCAACTTCTATGCAGTACTATTAACCTTGATAGTTTCCTCGCTTTCAAGTTGTTTTTTTTATGTGAGAATGCACAGAGCGATGGCGTTTTACAAAGCCCCGTCCCCCCGTGCACTCCTATCTAAATATCATTCTTATATACAAATTAGTTTTTCTTAGGCTAAACAGGAAAAATTAGTTTATCCTAAAATCAGGGTTTGGCCGGTAACATATACACTCTTCACCTGCAAATTGTCACAAGTATTCACATCACCTATATAAACGATTTCAACTTTCCGTGTGCATCAACTGTACGTTGTCTCCACTGTATGTGTGCTCAATATTGGATATCTTACTATTCAAAATGAACAGCGTACTATTAAGGAGATATACAGATAGTGCACAAAGAAAGTTGCGTTTGCATACAAATAAGATTTCCAGTTAAAATAATAAAATTAAAAAATAGACAGGTAAGGGCTTCCTAAAAAAGTAATATTGTATGATAATTATAGTTAGAATATGAATATATTATTGAAAAATACATAAGTACATATTATATTATTGTATATTACGTATATTACGTATATTGTACATACATATCAGTTCTACGTAATTTATAAACGTAATTTATGTACGTAATTTATAAACATGGGCATGAAATTCTTCTTTGCTTAAAAATTATTAAAATAAAGCTGTGCTATTGCACGTATACAAATTTGAAACTTTAAAAAAAAAACTACTCAACTTTATAAAAAAAACTAATCAAAAAAGAGACCACAAAATAAGGAAACAATTTGTAATAAGAACATATATTATTATAATGTAATACTATCTCTTTTATAGATTTGATGGTCCATAAAAATGATAATTAGTTAGAATATAAATATATTATTGAAAAATATATAAGTACTTATTATATTATTGCACATTACGTATATTGCATATCAGTTCTACGTAATTTATAAACATAATTTATGTACGCAACTTATAAACATGGGCATGACATCCTTTGCTTAAAAATTATTAAAATAAAGCTGTGCTATTGCACGTATGAAAATTTGAAACTTTATAAAAAAAAAACTACTCAACTTTATAAAAAAAAATTAATCAAAAGAGAGACCACAAAATAAGGAAACAATTTGTAATAGAATATATATTAATATTATATATATATATATATTATATAATGTAATACTATCTTTTTTATGGATCTAATGGTCCATAAAAATGATAGTAATTGCATAAAATCTAACTACCTTAGATTTTTTTCATCACTATTTAGAAGATTTTCATCAACTATTTTCTCATTAATATTTTTATCAGCTGCGTTATTAGCCACAGTATTAACTTGGTTTTCATTATCGACTTCATTGATTTCATCCTCGGCCACGATTTCCAAATCATTCGCAACATGTGTTATTTTCCTGAAAAACGTTTTGTATATGTAAATTATTTTCGTTTCGTTTCCTTGGCTCTATTGCCCAGCTTAGAAGACAGCATACTTATATTATGTAAATTATTATTTTCTCTAAAACTAATTTTTTTCTAGCTTACTTAACATGGTAATATTTCATATTATTCGGCTTTTACACATATAAAGTATTACGTCTTTTTATTTAGCTTTTTTGCAACAAATACTTTATAAAATCAAGCGTAGTAAATTACGAAATCGTTGTTTTGCAGAATTAAATAGATTGCTCTACAGCAATAAAACATAAAATTTTATGCAAAACAGAACTTCGTAATTTACTACGCTTGATTTCATTAAGCATTTGCTGCAAAAAAGCTAAATAAACGTCATTTTATATATATATAAAAGAATAATATAAATCGTTATCATGTTAAGTAGGTTAAAAGAAAAATATAGTAAACTATATCTAAACATATGTTAAATAAAATTTACTTTTGTTCTCGTGAAAAGCGCACAGGGGCATGACGCAGCCATGATTTAATTGGATTGCTTATATGTTTATTGCGTATTTAAAAGACATTTAAAGGACCTTTCAAAGATTTTATGTGGCTCACATATATCTTTGGGATTTTCTGAACATCTTTTGGATATGCATACTGTGTGAATTTTCATAAAAATAAATAATATATACATATATTTGAAAGCAAAATAATATATACATATACGCATATTAGAAAACAGTCAATTATACAAAAATCATAATATAATACAGAGAACAATATTCAAATAAATATTACTTGTTTCAATATATATCATAAGTTTTTATATCCACAAGTATATCACAAATTCATCACAAGCATTAAATTCATAATATATTCTGAATTCTATTAAGCGTAGTATTTTTATCAAAAATATTAAATTGAAACAAAAATATTTGGATGTCTTAGTACGTTAAGTAAATTTGATTTTTTTTATACAATTTTTTTTATTATTTTTGAAAAAGAAAATAAATTCTTTAAAGTGATAATAAAAATTTCTATTTGTAACAATTTTAAAGCTATTGTCAAGATTAAATTTTTGTTAACCCTCTGTTAAACGCAATGTACAAATAAGTAATTATTTTAATATACTTTCTAATTACTAACCCAGATAGCACATGGACATTCAATGGAGTCCATTGAACGTCTACTTTCTGGACGTCGGACATCTAGTTTTGGTCCAAATAAGATTCGTCGGACGTCTGATGGACATCCATATCCACATACGCTTGACACAACTTCGGACATCATAAAAATATCTGAAATAAGACTGTTGTTGAACCTATTTTGGACTTATTTTGGATCATCTTGGACGTATTAACGATATCCATAATACATCCAAAATAGGTCGAAAACGGTTCTATTTCGGACTATACGGAACGTAATTTTGGGATACATAC